GGAAACCCCTCTTCTTTGAAGAGGAAATGGAAAAACGAGAAAATTTCAGGTATGAGTGTAACCTTGACCTCAAAAGCATTCAAGCTTAACACAACCTTGACTTAGAACTCAAGGTAACATTCAGATGTGAAATTTCCTGTTTTTTTTTCAAGGTCAAAGTCAAGGTCATCTTTGGGTGATCCCACAAACCCCAAAACTGTGCTATCGAACCCTTTTGCTCAAGCAAATTATTAAATTAGCTTTATTTGACCTGGGATGTCTTTGTAGGGCCAAGGTCATAGTCAAGATGATGTTCAAACGCAAAATTTGCTCCTCGTTTCAATTTGAACGTGAAAAATTCGTAAAATATTCGTTTCACCTTAAAATTACCTTGAAATTTGTAGGGAAGATCACCATTATTTTGCTCTCTCGAGGCTGTAAAGCTTTTGATTACTTTTCTCCAAAATACGCAGTTTCCAAAATGTTTAGGTCGGAAGGTTAAAATGAGACACCGTGTATGGGTTTTTATTCATGTGATTAACAAAGTGTCTTCAAGCTCCTTGAGGCAGCCGCGGTGCCCCATTACTTAGGCTTCTGCCTGTTTCGGTTTAAAAAAAACTGCAGTTGATGAGTGAATCCACTGATCGTTTCGAAAATTCATAGTATTTTCAATAGAAATGGGCTTGAATTTATTTGAGATGAGAAAAATGCGTAAGTTATTAAATGAGTATATTTAATTTCTCAACAACAGCATATAAAACATTAACCAGCTTGACAATATAGGATCGGACATTATAAACTCTGAAGCACAATAATACTTATTACAATAAACGTAACAACATAATATATAGAACTTACAATATGTTAAAATAATGACGATTTTACTCTTTTGGTATACACAAGCACACTAGTATAGGTACGTAGAAGTAACGTCGTTTTACACTATATTTGTTCCGCTTGGATATCAGTGACGTATTTGAAACGTCATTACTACGACGACTAGGGGAATTATACATTTCTAACCTTCTAACGTCAAGTTGACCCGTTCTAATGACTTGTAGGGATGTATGGACTCATTCTAACCAGCATATTGGTTATTTTCAACTTTTTGTTCAGTGCTTCTGTCATTTTTCAAGCTGAAAGGTTTTTGGCATATATCTATTATTGTTTTCAAGGAAATTTTTGATTTTTAATACACGTCCGATGAATAATGCTTATATTACAACTGGGTTTTTAAAGAGTTATTTAAAGGCATTGGGAAACAAAAAAGGTTAGAATTCGAATTTGCTCCCTGTTTTTGCTATACACGGTGTCCCATCTTAACCTCCCCACCTATATCAAAACTGCAAATTCTAGAAAAAAACTTTTAAACAAAATTTGTAGCGTTACGATGAGGCAAAATGATGGTGACCTTAAAAACGACCTTGGTTACGACCTTCAAGGCGGTTTCAATTTCAAGTGATTATTTTCAAATGGTATTTCTTTTCACATAGAAATTGAAAAACTGAGTAAATTTTACATCCAAAAATCACCTTAGCCATGATCTTGACTTTTGCTTTCAAGGTATTTCAAGGTCAAATAAAGACATTCAAAACAATTTTCTATAGCAAAAATGTTCGACAGCACTGTTGTGAGGTTTGTTGGGATCACCCAAAGGTGACCTTGATCATGACCTTGACGTTCAAAATTGCCAAAGGAAACCCGTCTTCTTTGAAGAGGAAATGGAAAAACGAGAAAATTTCAGGTATGAGTGTGACCTTGACCTCAAAAAGCATTCAATTTCAAAGTCAAGGTCACCTTTGGGTGATCCCACAAACCCCACAACTGTGCTGTCGAACACTTCTGCTTGAGCAAATTAATTAAATTGACTTGATTTGACCTTTATGTCCTTGAAGAGCCAAAGTCATAGTCAATGTGATGTTCAAACGCAATTTGAACGTGAAAAATTCGTAAAATATTCGTTTCACCTTAAAATCACCTTGAAATTTGTAGGTAAGTTTACCATTATTTTGCCCCCTTGAAGCTGTAGAGCTTTTGATTAAAACTTTTCTCCAAAATACGCAGTTTCCAAAATGTTTTGGTGGAAAGGTTAAAATGAGACACCATGTATGGGTTTTTATTCATGTGATTAACAAAGTGTCTTCAACCTCCTTGTGGCAGCCATGGTGCCCCCTTACTTAGGCTTCTGCCTGTTTCGGTTTAAAAAAACTACAGTTGATGAGCGAATCCACTGATCGTTTCGAAAATTCATAGTATTTTCAATAGAAATGGGCTTGAATTTATTTGAGATGAGTAAAATGCGTAAGTTTATTAAATGAGTATATTTAATTTCTCAACAACAGCATATAAAACATTAACCAGCTTGACAATATAGGATCGTACATTATAAACTCTGAAGCACAATAATACTTATTACAATAAACGTAACAACATAATATATAGAACTTACAATATGTTAAAATAATGACGATTTTACTCTTTTGGTATAGACAAGCACACTAGTATAAGTACGTAGAAGTAACGTCGTTTTATACTGTATTTGTTCCACGTGGATATCAGTGGCGTATTTGAAACGTCATTACTACGACGACTAGGAGAATTATACATTTCTAACCTTATAACGTCAAGTTGACCTGTTCTAATAACTTGTACGGACTCTTTCTAAGCAGCATATTGGTTATTTTCATCTTTTTGACCAGAGTTTCTTCATTTTTCTAGCTGAATAATTTTTATTGGCATATCTCTATTATTTTTTATTCTTGATACCATACGTCCGTTGAATAATGCTTATATTACAATTGCTCCCTGTTTTTGCTATACACGGTGTCCCATCTAAAACTCCCCACCTATATTAAAACTGCGGATTCTAGAAAAAAGTTTTAAACAAAAGTTGTAGCTTTGCGATGAGGCAAAACGATGGTGACCTTGAAAATGACCTTGGTTACGACATTCAAGGCCGTTTCAATTTCAAGTGATTATTCTCAAATGTAATTTCTTAGACCTTGGATGTCCTTGAAGGGCCAAGGTCATAGTCAAGATGATGTTCAATCGCAAAATTTGCTCCTCGTTTCAATTTGAACTTGAAAAATTCGTAAAATATTCGTTTCACCTTAAAATTACCTTGAAATTTGTAGGGAAGATCACCATTATTTTGCTCCCTCGAAGCTGTAGAGCTTTTGATTACTTTTCTCAAAAATACGCAGTTTCCAAAATGTTTAGGCGGAAAGGTAAAATGATGGGTTTTTATTCATGTGATTAACAAAGTGTCTTCAAGCTCCTTGTGGCAGCCGCGGAGCCCCATTACTTAGGCTTCTGCCTGTTTCGGTTTAAAAAAACTACAGTTGATGAGCGAATACACTGATCGTTTCGAAAATGCATAGTATTTTCAATAGAAATGGGCTTGAATTTATTTGAGATAAGTAAAATGCGTAAGTTTATTAAATGAGTATATTTAATTTCTCAACAACAGCATATAAAACATTAACCAGCTTGACAATATAGGATCGTACATTATAAATTCTGAAGCACAATAATACTTATGACAATAAACTTAACAACATAATATATAGAACTTACAATATGTTAAAATAATGACGATTTTACTCTTTTGGTATACACAAGCACACTAGTATAGGTACGTAGAAGTAACGTCGTTTTATACTATATTTGTTCCGCTTGGATATCAGTGACGTATTTGAAACGTCATTACTATGACGACTAGGGGAATTATACATTTCTAACCTTATAATGTCAAGTTGAACCGTTCTAATGACTTGTACGGATGTACGGTCTCATTCTCACCAGCATATTGGTAATTTTCAACTTTTTGACCAATGCTTCTGTCATTTTTCAAGCTGAAAGGTTTTTTTGGCATATATCTATTATTGTTTTCAAGGAAATTTTTGATTTTTAATACACTTCCGATGAATAATGCTTATGTTACAATTGGGTTTTTAAAGAGTTATTTAAAGGCATTGGGAAACAAAAAAGGTTAGAATTCGAAGTTGCTCCCTGTGTTTGCTATACACGGTGTCCCAACTTAACCTCCCCACCAATATCAAAACTGCAAATTCAAGAAAAAAAGTTTTAAAGAAAGCTGTAGCGTTACGATGAGGCAAAATGATGGTGACCTTGAAACGACCTTGGTTACGACCTTCAAGGCCGTTTCAATTTCAAGTGATTATTTTCAAGTGGAATTTCTTTTCACATAGGAATTGAAAAATTGAGTAAATTTTACGTCAAAAAATCACTTTTGCCATTATCTTGACTTTTGCTTTCAAGGTATTTCAAGGTCAAATCAGGACATTCAAAATAATTTTCCCTAGCAAAAATGTTCCACAGCACTGTTGTGAGGTTTGTTGGGATCACCCAAAGGTGGCCTGGATCATGACCTTGACGTTCAAAATTGCCAAAGGAAACCTCTCGTCTTTGTACTGGAAATGGAAAAACGAGAAAATTTCAGGTTTGAGTGTGATCTTGACCTCAAATAGAATTCAAGCTTGAACTCAAGGTCACATTCGGATGTGAAATTTCCTGGGTTTTTTTAAGGACAAAGTAAAGGTCACCTTAGGGTAATCCCACAAACCCCACAACTGTGCATTGATTTGACCTTTGATGTCCTTGAAGGGCCAAGGTCATGGTCAAGATGATGTTCGGACACAAAATTTGCTTCTCTTTTCAATTTGAAATTTGTAGATAAGGTCATCATTATTTTGCCCCTTCCAAACTCTAGAACTTTAGATTAAAACTTTTTTCCAAAATACGCAGTTTCCAAAATGTTCAAGTGGAATGGTTAAAATGAGGCACCATGTATGGGTTTTTATTCATGTGATTAACAAAGTGTCTTCAAGCTTCTTGTGGCAGCCGCTAAGCCCCATTACTTAGGATTCTGCCTGTTTCGGTTTAAAAAAGCTACAGTTTATCAGCGAATCCACTGATCGTTTAGAAAATTCATAGTATTCTCAATAGAAATGGGCTTGAATTTATTTGAGATGAGTAAAATGCGTAAGTTTATTAAATGAGTATATTTAATTTCTCAACAACAGCATATAAAACATTAACCAGCTTGACAATATAGGATCGTACATTATAAACTCTGAAACACAATAATACTTGTTACAATAAACGTAACAACATAATATATATAACTTACAATATGTTAAAATAATGACGATTTTACTCTTTTGGTATAGACAAGAACACTAGTATAGGTACGTAGAAGTAACGTCGTTTTATACTACATTTGTTCCGCGTGGATATCAGTGACGTATTTGAAACGTCATTACTATGACGACTAGGGGAATTATACATTTCTAACCTTATAACGTTAAGTTAATACGTTCTAATGACTTGTACGGACTCATTCTAACCAGCATATTGGTTATTTTCATCTTTTTGACCAGTGCTCCTGTCATTTTTTCAAGCTGTATGATATTTATTGGCATATATCTGTTATTTTTTTCAAGGAAATTTTTGATTTTTGTTACCATACTTCCGATGAATAATGCTTATATTACAATTGGGTTTTTAAAGAGTTATTTAAAGGCATTGGTAATCAAAAAGGTTAGAATTCGAATTTGCTCCCTGTTTTTGCTATACACGGTGTCCCATCTTAACCTCCCCACTGTTGTGAGGTTTTCTGGGATCACCCAAAGGTGGCCTTGATCATGACCTTGACGTTCAAAATTGCTAAAGGAAACCCCTCTTCTTTGTACTGGAAATGGAAAAACGAGAAAATTTCAGGTATGAGTGTGACCTTGACCTCAAATAGCATTCAAGCTTGACACGACCTTGAATTCGAATTCAAGCTCACATTGGGATGTGAAATTTTCTGTTTTTTTTTCAAGGACAAAGTCAAGGTCACCTTAGGGTGATCCCACAAACCCCACAATTTGCTGTCGAAGACTTTTGCTTAAGCAAATTAATTACATTGCCTTGTTTTGACCTTGGATGTTTTTGAAGGGCCAAGGTCATAGTCAAGGTGATGTTCAAACGCAAAATTTGCTCCTCTTTTCAATTTGAACGTGAAAAATCCGTAAATATTCATTTTACCTTAAAATTACCTTGAAATTTGTAGATAAGGTCACCATTATTTTGCCCCCTCCAGACTCTAGAACTATAGATTAAAACTTTTTTCCAAAATACGCAGTTTCCAAAATGTTCAAGTGGAAAGGTTAAAATTAGGCACCATGTATGGGTTTTTATTCATGTCAGGCTAAAAAAAATCAAATTTTGGCTTCAGGCAATCATGGGTATTAACTTAAAAATATTATTCCTTTGTAAGATCCTCATCTTTATATCCATAGGTTTTTAAATCTCTGAAGTACTGCTCATCCACAAGGAGTTGCATGTACCATTCTCGGTTGTTAAAGTTCCCTGCAGTACCCCCATATTCAGTAGGTAAGATGTCACTTGGTATAAAAGCGTGAAGGGAGGTCATATCAGTACCGTGCATTACGATCTGAAAAATAAACATGTTACATTATTGTAAGTACGTAGCACAGTTGGAAACTAGCGATCTGATTTGAAAAATCTCAGAGTGTTTCAGACTTAGACCTTTGAAAATGTCTTAGGAACAGCTTTTTATTTTAGTAACAATTTCAAGAAAACGAAGTCGCGGGTAACATCTAGTGCAAAATAACACATGTGTATATCTTAATGGTCACAGGTTGAGTGGGGCGATGGCAGGCCGCGCTGTTGCCGATTTCACTCTGACAATGGAGATTTTGGTACTTGCCATGTCAGTTGATTGCAAAATCGACAATGAGTTTGCGGATAAAACCATGCGCATAACCTTTCCCAGATAACAGTTACTGAGTATACAGATTTTTACGTCTCTCCTTACTGTTGTGACGTGATGGTGACAAAAAAATGATGAAAGTTTGAAATACACATATTCTAAAATATTGGAATTTTAGTTAACTTCAAGGCCGAAAACTCCGGTTATGCACCCTTGTCCTTTGTGTTTTCAAATAGAATAGTCACAACTTCGAACAATACGAGGGATGTCTTTTAAGTTTTGCATATAGAAACATAGTAGGCCGTCAGTTCTGAATCTTAACCTCACTCTTTAGTAAGCTTAAATTCAAAGTTTCACAGCAATACGTACAGTGTTCTCACTACAGTGAATTTTTAAGTGTCTCCAAGTCATTAGAAAAATGGAACTCAACCGAGAACATTTTCGCGCCATAATTTATTACAACTTTCAGAGACAATTATCGCAACAAGAATGCCTTGCTGAGTTACTGTCTGTTTTCGGCAACGAAGCGCCACATCAGTCGACAATTTCTCGTTGGTATGGAGAATTCAAACGTGGACGGGTGAGTCTTTGCGACGATTCCAGGGTGAGTGCAATAAAAACGGCAGTCACCCAGGAAAACGTCGATGCTGTGCGCAAACTCATCGTTGAAGATAGACATGTGACATATCGCGAGATTGAGGCGTCCTTGAAGATCTCAAAGACCTCAATTCAAAAAATGTTACATGAAGAATTAGGAGTAAGAAAATTAGTTTCTCGCAGGATACCTCACCTGTTGACTGAACAACAACCATTTGTTTGCCAAAAGTCATCATCGAGCTTCGAAAAATCAACCCCAAAAGAAGAATCATTCTCCACCAAGACAATGCAAGCTCGCACACAGCCCAAAAAACAAGGAAATATTTAACGGAAGAAAACGTGGAATTATTGGACCATCCTCCATATAGTCCCGATCTAAGTCCTAACGATTTATTTACTTTACCGAAAATTAAAAACAGACTGCGTGGTCAAAGGTTCCAGTCGCTAGAAGAAACAGTTGACGCATTCAAAAATGCCGTTTTGGATCTGCCAGCAAACGAGTGGAATAAGTGCTTCGAAAATTGGTTCGAGCGCATGCAGATGTGTATTAATCTTCGTGGAGAATACGTAACTTCGAAAACCAATAAAGTCATAGTAGATAGGGTTTGTATGTTCTGGGACGCCCTTGAGCGCCGACCTTCGGCGCCAAACGACCTTGAGAGTTGACCTTCGATGCAACCTTGAAATGTGACCTTGAAACGGGACCTTGAGTTTTCGAGTGACGTTGAAGTGTGACCTTGAAATGTGACCTTGGAGTGTGGCCTTGAATTGTGACTTTGAGTTTCCGAGTGACCTTGAAGTGTCAACTGTCACTCACTGTCCATTTTTATTAATTTGGTTGTTTCGTTCACTCCTACAAGGTCACACCCACGCAAGGTTGAGAGTGCTCGAGGTAATATATGTTCAAGGTCACACTTCAAGGTCACACGAAAACTCAAGGTCACGCATCAAGGTCAGCTTCAAGGTCACATTTCAAGGTCGCTAAAAATCAAGGTCATTCAGAAACTCAAGGTCACACTTCAAGGTCAGTCGGAAACTCAAGGTCACACTTCAAGGTCACATTTCAAGGTTGTAACCGAAGGTCAACTCTCAAGGTCGTTTGGCACCGAAGGTCGGCGCTCAAGGGCGTCACAGAACATACAAACCCTATCTACTGGTCATTTAAAAATACCTACCGTGTTGTTTTATTTCCATATGCAAAACTTAAAAGACGTCCCTCGTATTTGATACCAGAAATAGCTTATCAAATCAACAGTAAGTGCTTTTCTTCATTTTGCTTACTTTTCTCTGCTGTTTTATCCGACAATATACAGTGATTGAACTTCCAATAAAGACAGGCGCTAATAATACCTGGCCGTATTTGACATTTGGACAGACACAGCAAAGAAAAAAAAACTTGGAATTAATAAAGTTACTTCCTACTATTTCAGGATGCTTAAAATCGTGGCACGTTTTCTTCTTTTTTGTGCGAACAACCTTACATTTTATAGCAGTTTTTGCAGATTAAAGAGATTATATACGGAAAGTAGTTTCTTTTGCCATTTCCCAACATTGTTTTGTTCTGTTTGCTGATTGAAGTTTGACTGATAAAAATGATAGCCGTAAAATCCAATAGCAAAACTTTATAATTAATAAGATTATTGGAATTAAATTTGGTATACTTTTAAACAAGATAAAAGCTTATTTTATCACAATATTTTTCGGTTAGAAATTTTGTCATTCGTGCACGGTATTGCACCCAACACCAATTCACCAATAACTATTCAATAACTCAACTCGACTCAACAATAATTCTGAAACAATTTTAAGGTCAGTCTCTACTTGTGATTATCAGTATACGGTCGGTATTGATAGTGGATGGCAGTATTTCAATAACTCGCACGTAGTCCTGAAAAGGAAAGCCTCAACGTCCAGCACACCCTGTATTTATGCATTACTCACTCGTTTCCTGATCTTTTCCTTGAGGAACGGCTTGAGTATCGCAATGATCGCGTCAAAGTAGAAAGGCTCGTTGACCACATGAAAACTCTTGAATCGAAGAGGGAAAGTCTCCTGCACCAGCTCAACTGTTCTACGTGCGTAATAAGGCGTGAAAAACTTGCTGTGTTGTAAGCTGAGACCTGCCATGTCCAGGAGAATGGACACACCAGATACCTGCGTCTCTGGCTCGCGAACTATTTGCTCCATGGCCAAAATGTTCAGACGGAAAACCTCATCTATTGTTGTTTTCGAGGCGTCGAAGTTATCTGAAAATGCAAGAAGCATAGTAAATGAATAGTTATTGTTCTAAGAGACCTAGATGGAGCATGGGAAAGGTCAACAACATACAAATATTTAAATCATCACAAAAGTACGTCAAACAACTCATTATTAAGAACGTTATAAAAAACACATCATAAAAAGCAAACACATTTTTACAAGCAAGTGTTTAATAGAAAATGTTCATCGTTTATAATTCGTTCACTCATATCTTCACAAAATTGTAATCGCCGATCAAAATCGTCTTTATTAAGTTGTTGTACCAGGTGAATTTTATACGGATGAAAACTATAGGCTTTTAGAATCCGTTGGACAGTACGCCGACTAACACCACACACAGTCTCCAATTTCTATTGCTTCGTTCCTTATGGGATTTTCAATGTTGCGTTTTTTATTGGCGACTGACCCAGTTTCCCGAAATTTAGCTACAAGTTCTAGAACATATTTTCGATGCACGTTACTGTTCTCATGTCGCTCATTAAATATTTCTGCTGTTCTATTGGCACGCTGATCATTTCCGAAAAATATTTCGATAATTTCAACTCTTTCTGCTCTGGAATTCTACCATGGTTAATTTATGTAATATAGCGTTACAAGTTATTTTAGCAACAAAGTTTGGTCAAATCAATAGCAAACTATGTACTAAATTCCTATTTAAAATAAGTACGAGATATTTCTTTAACTTTCTTCAAGAAATAACTTTTTTGACACAAAAAACGCTCCAATAGCTATTTTCAACAACAAAATGATAAACAAACCATGGGCGTAGTGAAGAGAAGCATTTACTTATTAAGTAAATCCTTTAGTCAAATTTCTTCTGAAAGTAGTTCAAACTAATCTGATGTACCTATTAAAGTCTACTTTAAGCTTTAAATCAATAAATCTTCAAAGCTACTGAACTGAAGTACATTAATTTTATATCATTATAAAGGGAATTGAAAGACCTTTAAAAGAAGGTATCACTCGACCCCCCTTTCCATTTAAGATTTTATGGATGGTGTCACCCCCGCCCAGGGGGTTGCACGTGTTAAAGAGTTTTTTGGCCAATCTTGTGTCGCCCTCGAAAACAAAATCGACGGGTCTGAGCGTTTTTTAAAAAAAAAACTGAGCTGCCAGTAAATGCGTCTGTTTCGTTTTCGATGCGCCACCCTGTATAATTTTATGACCATATAGTTGGCACTTTATTCATATAAGCTAAATTATGTTTAGGATCAACAAAATCATGAGTATCTCCTGTTCCATAATCATCTAGATGGATGGCAAAGTTAAAACATGCAGGTCTATGAACCACTGTTTCCATTATTCCCTCATAGGAATGGCTATGATATTTACTTTTTTGCAATATAAAGCTCTGCAAGATGAGAGGAACCCCAAAAATACCTTATTTTATGCTCAAAAAAAAACAAGTGCATAGTAAAAAGAAAAAATCAAAGCTTACCGACGACAGTTTTTCACAGAAAGTATTTATATGAATTTTCCAATTCAAATGATCATTGCTAAGAACTCCAAGGTAGTTCGTGTCACTAATCTGTTATAGACTTATAGACTTTCGATTAATTTTGAGCAAACAAGACAGCACGATTGCTTTCTCTGGTCACGAAATTCATAAATAATGACTTTTCCAGATTTATGATAAGCTCATTAAACAAGAACCAATCAAAAAAAGATAAATCAACATAATCATAAATCAATACAAAAGAACAATTGCAATGTTGTTCTCAATGTCTATACCATTGCAATTTCTTTAACGTATTTTTCACTTCAAATTTCATAATAATAACATCCAATCAATACTGGATATCAGGATCTAGTAGATCTAAACCCTACCCAACTAGCAAAGTGGTAATATAAGTTTTTCGTATAAGAATTGTTCAGCCGCAAAAGCTCTCTATTGTTGTTGCCTGAATACCAAAATGCTGGCTTAATGTTATGCAGAATGCTAATTGGCTTTCTGCACAATATTGGCTCTAAAATGAATAGTCTAATCATAATAGCAAATTTCCCCGAAATAACTGTAGTCTCGTTTTATTGGTGAAAGTTGTCCAAGGGGGTAATTAAAACATGGACGCAGAAAAGGGGTACACCAATTTTTGTGGGAAAACTTTTTATTTGACAACAAACGTCTTTTTTTTTTGTTGTTCAATCGAAAGTGTTGACAGGAACGAAAAAACTGTTCATATAAGATTTTTAGGTGTTTATGAGGCCTGCAAAATGAGACCACACGTAAAAAGATTCGACTAATAGCAAAAATGTTATGGTCGAAAAACGAGGCAAAATGAAGGTTTTGGCACTTTTTGGTAATGCGACAAACAACAACTTGAAGTATATTGGCCAAGTAGTTTTTTGAGAATTTCTAATTGCTTATCCCAAAACACCTGTTTTCCGGCCATCACTACTAGCATATTGAGCAATATACAGGATTCGTTCAAAGATCATTTAATAGCAAGATATACGTTTTTACCTTGCCGATATGAATCACAAACCATTCCGAAATATAAATATTGTTTTTATGCGAAAAACGAAGGTTACCTTTTTTCTTCTAAACAAATTCAAACATTTCGTATTTGTATTATTTCACTTATCACTAATGACTCTTCGCTCCGTGTACCTATGGGATAAATATTTGCGACATACCTATTTTAATAATATAAACCCTTCTTCCAAACTTATCTCTTCGTGGAAGCATGTTTTGTGCTTGTAGTTCGAAAATATCCAAACACTCAGAAGGCAAAGGACAATCAAACAATTCGGGGCATTTCAGTTTCATCAGGAAGTACCTTTGAATCTGAAAAATATAAATAAAGCTCAGCTGATAAGACGGAATTGTGAAGATGACGAAAATGTATACAAGATTTTAATAATACACGGTGTAAACGCTATGGTAGTCATTATTTAAATGGGTAATAGGGGGGGTCAAGACAAGTCAAAAAGTTAAATATTTAAAACACACATGAGAACAGCGCGTCGGTCTTTCATCACTCTTATCGAACCGGCAATCGATCGCAAACGGTAACAGTGGTTAGTTATCGTTTTGCATAGATAAATTACTTTATCGTTTTGTCGCACAGAGCATCGGGCGTGTTGTTTTGTTTTTGTTCGCGTACGTCGTCGTGTTTATTTATATGTAGAGCAGTAGGAACAAATTTAGTCCATAGAATCCTACGGGAAAATTTGCTTTAGCCCTACCATGTACAACCAGTGCAGGCCTTGTTACCAGAAGACTATCCTCGCAGACTAACATTCTGTCAGTGGTTTTTGCACAAATACATTGAAAATCTCGATTTTATTAAAAGCATTCTAGCGACGGACGAATGTACTTTTACGCGAGACGGGATATTAAATATCCATAATACTCACACGTGGGCCCAAGAAAATCACCATACCATTCGTGAAGGTCATTTCCAACAACGTTTTAAAATAAATATACATATAAATCCGAACACCCAGTTTAAATGGTTTTATTTTAATAAAAGTTGGTGAGTGTATTTATCTTACTGTAAATAACAAGTGAAAAAATGTTCAGCCTTATCAGTTGGACATTCCGGTTTTTATACTGCTTTTTTTTTAATTCACTAACGCTCTAAAAATGAATATTTCAGCCGCAGTAATGAATCAACGTTGGCGGATTTTGGTTCTTGACATCCTTTACGATCGGTTACGATGCCTAGAGTACGGAGACCTGTATGATTTCGTCAACTTAGTGAGTTTGATAGGGGCCGTATAGTGGGACTTCGGGAAGCTGGACTTTCTTTTCGGGCAATTGCACTTAGAGTGCAAAGAAGTGTAGACACTGTGGTTAGGTGTTGTCAGGCATGGCTTCGAGAAGGCCGTACGCAAAGAGCAAGGGGCACTGGACGCCGCCGTAGAACAACAGACCGTGAAGATCGCCGCTTAAGATTATTGGCCTTAAGCGACCGTTTCTCCACTACCAGGTCCATTGCATATGAATGGTTTGCAGAACACGGAAGACCTATTGGCATGCGAAGTGTTTACCGACGAATGAGAAGTTTTGGCTTGTTTTCATACCGGCCACACTGGGTCCTCCCTTTAACTCGAGAACACAGACGTAATCGCCTTGAGTGGTGCAGACAACGGTCACTCTGGGATCAGGAATGGAACAGTATTGTCTTTAGTGACGAGTCTCGATTTTGTTTAGGCATGCACGATGGTCGTGCCAGGGTTAGAAGGCGACGTGGTGAAAGGAGGAATCCACAGTTTTTTGTTGAAAGACATGTTCATCACACTGTTGGAGTTATGGTTTGGGGTGCTATAGCTTATGGTTCCAGGTCACCTTTAATCTTCATCAGAGGTAACATGAACGCGCAGCGTTATATCCACGAAGTTCTAGAACCCCATCTTTTACCCTATCTTGACACCCTGGCAGATCCAACTTTCCAACAACATAATGCCCGACCACATGTTGCAAGAGTCACAATAGACTTCTTTCAACATAATGATGTCACATTGTTACCATGGCCACCAAGATCTCCCGACTTATCCCCAATTGAGCACGTGTGGAATATGATGGGTACGAATTGCTCAATTTGCAACGTCCTCCTCAGACTCTAGAAGTACTTCGAGAGGAGTTGGTGGTTGCCTGGAATGAGATACCACAGGAGGACATTGACCACCTGATCAGAAGCATGCTTAGGCGCGTTGGAGAATGTGTAGCACATCAGGGTGCATCCACACATTATTAAAGGTCGAAGGGCTTTAAAGCAGTGCAATCATTTTGAAATTTTTATCATTTACTTATTATGCTTCATTAAGTACTTATACAAAATTTTATTAAAATAAAACCATTTAAACTGGGTGTTCGGATTTATATGTCACTTAGTATAATAATTAAATAATAAGGTAAACTTTGGTACAACACGGGTTATCTTGAAACAAAAATAAAGAACTATTCTTTTTCTTATAAAAATAATACTCTTTTCGGACTAAAAACGAAAAATGTCGTTACGTGTAGTACTCTAGTAATTTTGTCAAAATCTAGTGTTTACAATCCGGGACAGTGAAGTCTTATTACTGGACACAGGACTAGGCGCTAAATTCCGGGACATTCCCGGATTTCCCGGCCAACTGTCAAGTCCCAACGCCTGCTCTACAAAGACGTTGATCGTTTTTTCTTTCACCATACAATATATAAACTTATCGGATCACAAAACAAAAACCACAGTTCTTACCATGTGAAAGGATTTTTTGCTGTCGAACTTCCTCGCCCGCAGGAACCTTATTAGAAAGTCATCTCCTTCCGGGACGCTCAAATTGGTATCATCTGAAATTATAATGAGATGCAAATAAGTCTGTTGGAGTAGCGCCAGCTAGAGGCAGTTCTGCCATGGGCGTCGATTGAGATTTTACGTTACCTGAAGCCTGTGCATGCATTTTTCACAGACTTTTGGAGGGCTCGTTTCGCAAAAAAGTTAAATTTTTGTTAATTAGATAGGATACCAGGAATATTGCTCTTTGATTATTACACAGGGTGGCACATCGAAAACGAAACAGACGCATTTACTGGCAGCTCAGTTTTTTTTTAAAATGCTCAGATCCGTCGATTTTGTTGTCGAGGGGGACACAAGTTTGGCAAAAAATCACATTAGCACGTGCAGCCCCCTAAGCGGGGGTGACACCACCCCCAAAATCTTAAATGAAAAGGGGGGTCGAGTGATACCTTATTTTAAAGGTCTTTCAATTCCCTTTATAATGATATAAAATTAACGTACTTCAGTTCAGTAGTTTTGAAGATTTATTGATTTAAAGTTTAAATAAAACTGAACTTCAGTTCAGTAGTTTTGAAGATTTATTGATTTAAAGCTTAAATAAAACTAATATATAAGTACGAGACATTTCCTTATCTTTCTTCAAGAAATAACTTTTTTGCCACAAAAAAAACGCTCCAATAGCTATTTTCAACAACAAAATGAGAAACAAACCATGGGCGTAGTGAAGAAAAGCATTTACTTATTAGGTAAATTCTTTTAGTCAAATTTCTTCTGAAAGTAGTACAAACTAATCTGATCAGGGGGCTGCACGTGTTAACGTGATTTTTTGCCAAACTTGGGTCCCCCTCAAAAACAAAATCGACGGGTCTGAGCGTTTTTCAAAAAAAAAAACTGAGCTGCCAGTAAATGCGTGTTTCGTTTTTGATGCGCCACCCTGTATATTATATTAAGTATATTTGCATTCTGATTCTGTTTTTTTCCATAATCTTGTTAAAAGACGATCTCTTTTAACAAATGCGCATATTGTCAGACCCAAAATTGCGTAAAGATTATTAGAACAAGATTCCATACTCATTTCAAAAATTGATCTTTTTCGGTCCGGAATTGAATAATAACAATGTTAGAAGATATTAGAAGTAATGTATACGACGATTGGATAGTGTTTTATTTCCTATAACATAAAAATAAATGTTGTATCACTGTTTTATACATCTGGGATGTGTATCGTTTGTTTTGAAGTTTTGTAATGTCTTTGAAAATATTGATTATATTCTTGTGTACTAAATTTCATGTGTTTGCAATATTTTGAATTTGAACAGCTGCCATATCTTCACTGTGAGTCTTCAAAAATGCTACGCTTAAAAATAAGATCCTAATTGTAATGATCTTTACTAGAAGCCCGGTTTTGGCACCTATTTTCAAATTAATGGAATGTAAATGTTTTTTGGAAATTACTCTTTTCAATAATTCTTTTCTCAAGTCTATGATCGAAGTAAATGATACTTAACGTTGCAAAGTAAACGTTTGCATTTAAAACACCCTTTTTCATTTTTTTATTTTTATTTAATCAACAAGATGGGATCCAGTTTTGAGCACTTTCTCCTACAAATTAGGGTTAGGGAATTGTAGGAGTTGTTCAACTGTGTGTCTCCCCTCTGAAAATCGCAGTTACGACGCCCATAAATAGCGCAGCTCAAGTTTTTGAATAAAAAACGAGGCGAGAATCAAATTCAAAGTCGCATCCCAACTCGTTCGCGCTCGAACAAACTTTATAATGAGAAATAAGCGGGATTTGCCGTCATTCGGATTTTAGATTTTACGGAATTGAATATTGGATAAAGTTGAAGATGCGGATTTATACACTGGCGGACCAAAGGCACGTATAGTAGATCTGATACCAATTGGAACAGCGAAAAAACGCCGGTATGTAATCCTATGTTATACAGGGTGTTTCCTAATTGAATGTCAATATTTAAGAGGGCGATTTTTGGGTCTGTTTCAAAAAGAAAACTACATATTCTTGAAAAAATAAAATTTATATTAATTAACGAGCAGATTTGAAATCTTTATTTCTTTGTCCTTCGCGTGGTTTTCACCCGTCTGTCTATCTGCTTGGCGTCTATAACTCGGAAAGTATTACTCGGATTTTGATGAAATTTTCATTAAAAGTTACTGACTACGAGCCCCTTCCCACTTCAGTTGGCCCACTTCAAGATTTCTACCAAAATATACCTTTATAAACTAAACATGATCAAACTATTTACTTCTAAAACAATTTATTTTTAACCAAGTTTTGGCAAAAATTTGGTGTAAAACAGTCCCATATTTCTTGAAGCTTTTGTCTCAGTTCGGTGATTGTACGAGCAGGATATTGTCGTAGAACCTTTTTCATCTCGTGCCACAAAGTTTCAATAGGTGACAGATCTGGACTGCTAGAAACCCATTTCAAAAGTGTTACATTATTTTCTTCCATCCATTTTATAGCCTTTTTTGAGGTATGGCACGCTGCACCATCTTGCTAAAACACAAAATCTTGACCGGATGTCAAACATTCTTCCATCACTGGTAAAAGCGATTCTTCTAAAATTACCAAATATTTGTTTGTATCCACATTTCCATCAATAAATGAAGTTTTCCTACTCCTTTTGATGACATAATACTGCCCTAGACCATAATGGATGCTGGAAATTTCACTTTTCTCTTCAGACAGTCAACATGGAATGCTTCATTTTTTTGCGAATAACTCTACTGCGACTGTCACCAACAGAAACTTCGAATCGGGCCTCATCACTCCATCGTATTGTACACCATTGTTGAGGTGTCTATTGTCTATGTTCTTTAGCCCATCTAATCCGATTTTCTTTTGCAGTTGAGAGTGGAGAATAGTGGCTTTTCTTTGGCCTATAAACAAGTTGTGCAACTTTAAGGTTTTTGCTTCACTTTTTTTATAAGAAAACTTACCTTGCAAGTGCTAAATCCCAGTATGTGGGCCTCTCTATGAGTTGCGGACCTCGAAATTGTCCTTCCACCAGCGTCACTCCACCGAGCACTTAATTGTAAATAATTGGCACGCCTGTTTTTCACGATTATTCTTCTTAATGCTCTTCGGTCGGCATTTGTGATAGTACTTTTTTTCACATATCGTGGGTTAATATTAACTGAACCGGTTACGTTATATCTTCTAACAATATTTCTCACACTGTACCGCGATAAGTCTAACAAAGTTACAACTTCTGAGTTTGATTTCCCAGAATAAAAAAATTTAATTATCAGTAACCGAATTTTCTCACCAATAACCTTTCCTCTATCCATTTTGAAAACCTTAACTACCCAAAACTATTTTAAACGTATTCTGACAGCTGTGATTATTAAAAACAATTGTCATGGCTTTTATTTTTTACAACCACCTATGCTTTATAGACTTATTTTGCATTGAAATGAAAATAGGTTGATATGCTGTAATTGCAACATGTGTTATTTTTATGCTGCAAATTTGATTAGCGAGTGATAAAGTTGGTGTTTTCTAATATAGATTATCAAAATATTCATTGTTAATATTTTAAACCTATAACACCCTGCCACATTTTTATTATTTGTGTTTGATAAGAAAAAAACTAAGATTTCAATAGTTGGGCCAACTGAAGTGGGAAGGGGCTCGTATTGTGTTAAGGACGAAACGGCTTTGCAGTTTTCGAACATCAGTCCACGAACGGCAGAGAAAAAGACAAAAAACAAACAAAAACCTTTCAAACTCCGTCAGATTCAGATTCCTGATATTTTTTTTCGATAACAAATTGAAGGCGGCAGTATATTTATAAACTTCTAGCCCCAGGAATTCGACGCGGCTATTAGGCATATGTCACACATATTTACCCAGCATATTTGCCCATAAGATTTAGAAATATTTTGTATATCAAGTTCACCGTCGCTCGCTCTTTAATATTCAATCGCAGATACCCCATCTTCCTGAACGATTTCGGGAGACACTAGAAAATATTTGATTCTGAAAGTTGGCGGTAGATGAATGCAGTTTGAGAACGTCCTATTTAAACAAAAGTTACTATTATTGTTCACAATAAACCTGGAAAAGACTTTGTCGAGAGCACAACAATCTTATACAGCTCAGCTTAAGCCATTTTCTCATTTTAAGATGTCCCGACCTTACTGGAAAACCATTTATAAATCTGCCCAAGTATATCCAGAGCCGATAACATTTAATTCTCATGATTTTTATGTTTATTTTTCATCGGTTACGGTCACGTATTTAGTATGCTTCATTTAGCCTTTAGGATACTGACAGCAAAATATTCTGCAAAGTAGGTACTACATTAAAATGGATTTGCTGTCATTGCTATGCTTCAAACATTCTTTTTCGGCGAAAAATGTAAGCGTATGTGATTCCGAACGACTGCTGAATAATCAGAAAATTACGGAGATTAAATGTCACCACCTCTTATGCTTATATAGTAGGGTAGTACAAAAGCATACGTTTAACCAATTCCTTCAGAGCACGAAGCTCTCTTTCAACAACTTCGGGTGTTTCATTAAGTTCTTCCGCAGCCCTTTGTTGCCATTCTTCACTCAAAGAACAGTCCGATTTTTCTGAAAAACTCAAATTGTGGCCTTTCATCGTGAGTCTACCCAGTTGGCCCTAAAAGTAGTTCCTCCTCTATAAATATAGAAATGAAAGTGAAAGTAACTTACTCACCTGAAAATATCGTATACCTTGGTCCTATGTTCAGTTATTTATATTTGCTATAATTTTTTGAACTGTACAATAAATATCACAAATATTCAGTGTATTTATTGTCCTTGATCTTTATTCATATATTCATTTATTTTGTGTGTTATAAGGCTAGATGAGGTATTTTAAACATAATTTTTTATGCACTAGACGCTAGGTAACGGACATTGTAATGAAAAAGATTATTGGTTTAATATTGCTTCTAAGTTGAAGGTTGAGAAGTATTGACTTTCATTTAGAACCGCGTGGTGTAACTCCCCAGGGCATGCGCTCGAGATACCTGGAATTTTTAGCACGCGACTTCCATACAAAACCGTCGCGTCGGGGAGCAGGGATGAGGCGCCTCTTACACTAAAAGAGAATTTTCATATTATGATATTTAGAATTATTCTAAAAATTTAGGTGAATGTGTTATGCATGTGCATATACAACTCCAAATTATGGTGAATGTAATGTGCATAGATTTTTATAAACTTGGTGGATGTGCAGTGTAAATGTGAAAGATAGGCAACCAGTTATGCTATAGTCACACTTTCTGAGACTCGACGTTTACTCGAAGTATAGTCACGCAGCGTTGCCAACTCAACTTTTTATAAATAAAAAATACTAATTCAACATGGATGATTCTCAGATTTGAATTACAGGGTTCGTTCTTACCGAAGATGTCGCACTACTATACCTCGTTTCGTCGCACCTCTTACTTCAATTACAACGTTGTTGCTGTCATGGTGCAATCTGATTTTTAGAATATAAGATATACTTATTAATTGTACCTAATGGGGCTAATTTGGAAAAGAGGGAAGTATATAGCTCCATTTAAGTTGGAGGTCACGTCTAAGGTTATTTACAGGCAAAGATATCAGTTGCTGATCATCTTTCAATGATAGCAGATTTCAAAGCCCGTTGAACTTGTAAAAAGCAGGCTATGTGTTTTCATCAAATCTGTGTTTTTCCTTTGGTTAACGTATTTCCTTCTTCCCATCCCAGGGTAGCGCCGCCATCGTATTAATAGCTATTAGTTTTTAAACTATATGTATTGAGCTCATGTCATCAGGCTCCAGTATACAGGGTGTCCGCAAAGTTGGGGTTTTCCTTTACACGAAGTGTAGATCTTGAAAACATAAGCAATTTTTCTTAGTACCATATACACCAATGTCTTAAGGGAACCGAGATAAAGGGCTCCGCAACATCAAAAATATCTGAATACCGTCCTGTAGCCGCGACCCGCCGCGATATCCCCGACAGGTACAAGGTCTCAACCCGACGGCAGAACTGGGTCAGGGTCAGTGTGCCAGGTGAGTATGCAACCTTCAACCGCCGGTTACGGTCACGCATGTAGAGGTAATCGCGTAGACGAAAATCGCTCAACAAGCACTAGAGACGTGGCTAGAGAAGTGCAAGTATCAAAAACTAAAGTGTGGCAAACGCTGCGTGAAGAGAGACTGTATCCGTTTCACGTCCAACGTGTACAAGCCCTTCAACCTGACGATTTTCCAGCAAGAGTGCGGTTTTGTGAGAGGTTGTTGCATCAACATGACAATAATCCGGACTTTTTGAAGTGCATATTGGTGACAGACGAATCTACGTTCACGCGTAATGGGGTGAATAACTTTCGCAACACTCATGTTTGGTCAGTAGAAAATCCGCACGCTGTCCGTCGGGCACATTTTCAACAAACATTTTCGGTGAATCTTTGGGCTGGCATGGTGAACGGTATGCTCATTGGACCATTTATTCTCCCAAATCGATTGGACGGGATGCAATACCTAGACTTTTCACGCAACATTTTGCCTTCCTTGTTAGAAGATGTGGCATTAAGTGTAAGACAATCAATGTGGTTTCTGAATCTGCTCGGTAGCGCTTCAGCTGAATTCATTTTCTGTTGGAGCGGTATGATTTCGGGCAGAGACGTACTTAGCCCTTCTCGTCATCTGGAGAGTGAGTACTTTTTCCTTTATTTTTTTTTACTTGGTCGCCCTCGTTTCACTACACATTACCTTAGTCATTTCAAGGGTAGTTGTTTCTGAAAAGGAAAACCCCAACTTTGCGGACACCCTGTATAATGTAGCGTGAATTTAGGCCCTTCGAATATTTAAATCACTTGTTGAATGCTGCCTAATATAGGCGGACTGGTAATTTGTCGCTTGATAGCGTTTTCAACTCCAGTTAGACTTTTCCTATCAACTTATTGCCTTAACGCATAAGTATTTAAGCTGATAATGTTGATATGTTTCTGTCAATTTGATACAAGACAAGGAATGAGCTACTCATACCTTAAGTTCACTTTTGTGCATTTTGAAAATGGAAGCATTATCAAAGATTCTGATCTGGCAACGTGGCTCAAGGATATCCAGTACTTCGAGTATGCATCGAACATTGGAAGTCCGGTGCGGTCATTGACAGGTACTACAAATGTCAGTTATCAACAAACGTCATCTGTGACACCGTTTGATTTACATTTTCCGTTGAAATTCGAATTTGTTTTGCATCTTTTATCACAAATTTTATCCGATTCTATTTCGACGCATAGTAAGAACATTAATTATTAAAATGGAGCTGACGATACCGTAAAACCTAATAAGTCTTTACAAATTGAAATGTCCATAAACGTAACAGTCACAGGAAATCCAGTAAGCATAAAAAGAGGAAAAATGGTAACAGCAGACCCAAATTACAACCAAAAAGAGTTCGAACGAAGAAGAATAATGCGACTGGAGCAAGTTAGACAACAGTCCAAAGATATAGCTGAAGATGTGAGAAATAAGGTTAGACTAGAGAAGGAGAAACAAATGAAACAAATTGAGGAAGAAGGAAAGCATAAACTGAAGAATTGGCAGAATAGGAAGTTGCTAGAGTTACAAACGCAGTTTCAGGAAGCCTTAAAAGAGTTGGGTACTGGATTCAAGGAGGCAGAAAAAGAGCAAGTAAGAAAGCTTTCTCAACAGATGCAAAACATACTTTTACCTTTACTGAGCATTAATGCAAGTGTTCTGCGACATTTTGCTAATCTACAGCCAGAATGTCATGAGATCATTCTTTCACTTGTATAATGTCCTATATTTTGTGAGTGTCATGATTAAATTTAAAATATCATTACCTATCCAAACCTAGGAAGAAGCTGAAGTGCGAATAGAACAGGATGAACGAAACAAAAAAGTTTCCAAAGCAAGAGCCGAGGTTGCTGCTACCAAGCTACAAATTGAAAAAGATGAAGAATCCAGAATGAAAACAGCCCATATTGAGAGAAAGAAGATCACTAGAGAAATTGAAAATGCCAGATCTGCCCTGGTCACCAGTCTCAAGAATAACAAGTCCAGGTAGTTACAAAAATTATATGGGTGAATATAAGGTATTTATGAAGATCAAAAGACTATATGATATGCCATACATATTTGAAAGGATCAGATAATATTTTTCTTTTGTCAGCCTGTATAGGTGCCAAGGGAAAATGTGTGACCAGGGGGGTGACATTTCAACTATCAAATAACTATGTTAAGCATGACGTAAATACCATTTAGCTAAATAAATTCAATGGACATTTATTTAAAATGACATCTTCAGTTCCATTGTTTTTGAGATGAGATAATCACATTCATTGAGACTTCACAGACCCTCTCACAGTGATGGATGTGTTTGTAAGCAAGAGTTTTTTTATAGGGGATTGCAGCCATATCTTCAATTGTTTATAATAATTTTTATTATAAAGTAGAAACCACGGATGTATACAATTTGTTAGTGTCTCTTTTCATGAAAATATGTTATACTGTGCATATTGTTATATCAGTTACACAGAGATTTGTTGATATTTTGTAGTGAAATTCAGGAATGGAGCACACCAGGGTAATAAACATTTACATTATTTGCTAATTTTCTAAATTATATATTAAGATTTTCCGGGTGAAACATTGGCATACCAAATACTGTATATTCTCCCATATATAAAAAAATTAATACCAAATATAATCATTGTGTTTGCATGCAATAGAAAATATAAAATAGCTTTTAAAATAAAATTAACTGATTTGAACCAAAATAACTCATTAGATGTAGAAAATATTGTCTTTTTTTTTGTTGTTGAAGATTTATTTAGGCCTGATGCTACAATGTCAATTTTGTATAATAATATTTTTCTTCAATCCATTTTCTGTGATTTTACATTCTTGTCTATCAAAATTAAAATTACGTCACTATGCATTTTGATTAGTCATAAAGTGATTCTTTATTTTCACCTTAATCATTTTTAAATTCGAACTCTGTTTAATATCATTATTCAATTCATAAAATTCAAATACTCCCTTTTGAACTATAGATTTACTAGTTATGTTACTATTACAATTTTGCAGATGAAAATCTATACTGCCTCTAGTTTCGTAGTTATAATAATAACTGTATTTAATTTCGTCAAGTTATCTAAATGTGGTGGTAATAAATGATTTTTTAATTTGAATATGAAAACGAGAACTAAATAATATATGAAATTTTTATCATCCAACCACTGCAGTTCTTCTAACATAGACTTAATCCTAGCATATTTGTTTTTATTCAAAATGATTCTCATAGCTTTATTTTGTAGAATTTGTAGTTATACACAATTTTTTTGGAATACATACTAAGATTATGGGAAGCTCTATAGAAGTAATTCATCTTTCTCGATATTTTTGAAATAATGTATTCATAATGTTTGAAAAAGTAGCTTACTATCCACATATATACAAAGATATTTAAATGACTCGACTACTTCAATTTTTTCATCATTAATCATGAGCCTAATTGTATTGTCACCTAAATGTTTCCCTATTGACATACATTTTATGTTTAATTTAAGTTTATAGACATAAACCAATTCATAATTTTTTCAATATCCCTATTTAACAGTTTAGAACAGTGTCCAAATGCTTATGTGCTATATATATGAGTGTATCATCCACAAACATTTGAATTTTGCAGTGTTCTAAAATGTCAGAGATATCATTTATATTAATAATAAATAGTAACAGCCCTAATTTATGCCCCTGTGGCACCCCTACTGATATATTTTGAACACTTGACATAATATTTCCAACTTTAGTCTTTTGACTTTACTAAATAATTTTATAAAATGTGTAATACCAAGCAATACTGACGCAATTTCATTAACAATTTTTCCCTATCTATAATCTCAAATGCCCTTTTGAAGTCTAAAAATATTGTTACAATATATTCTTTCTCATCTATACTTCTTCTCCAGTCTTCCACCACCATTTGAATTGCCGTTTCTCTGGAACATTTTTTCTAAACCCTGCTTGATTTTTTATAAAAATTTTGGATTCTTCAATTAATTCTATGATTTGTTCGTATATTATCCCTTCGAACAGCTTCTCGACATCGGGAAAGACATTAATCGGCCGCATATTTGTATACAGCTGAGAATTTTGAACTTTGGGCACAGGAGTAATGGTGGAATACTTTAATTTTGATGGGAATTCACCATGTACTAAACAGTGATTTACCAATAATAATAATTTCTCTCCAATTATATTGAAACAATCATTTAGAATATTTTTTGAAAGATTCTCACTTAGATTTTTATTAGATTTCAATTTTCAGATAGCTTTTCTTAGATTGTTGATGTTAATTGTCCTTAATCTCATTAAAAGTAACGTCTTTTTTTATCCAGGTTGGGTGAACCAAGCGCAAAAAAGAAAAAACACAAGTCTTCAGCAGATATAAGCATCACCATACCTGACTCAACCTCTGAAAGCAGTGAAGCAACAGATAAACCATCACCTAGCTTAGCAGATGCTCAAGATGACCTACGTGTTTCCAGCCCATCAAAAATGTCAGAAGATTCTGGACCTAGTGGAGATTCTGGACCCAGATCTCCATTGAAATCAGCCTGTTGCAGGGAGGAGGGTACTAGAGATCATACAATTGGTAATAAAAATGAAAATGAAATCTTGTGTGAACATTGATTATCTTTAAGGTGTCAGCCCGATCTTGATTCCACAAATTCTCACAAAATTGTCTAACTTGCAGTCTCTTTTTTGTTTGTTTATGATTTATTTAGCATGATTGCTACAATTACATTCTTCTAAAAAACTAAACAATTACATAACATACACATATTTAGAAAAGAAAACAAAATTTGCATCTCTATGAATTTTCATTGTCCATGAAATATTCCTTTAATTTTCTTTTAAATATCTTTAAATTACAAGTAGACTTTATATCATTATTTAGTTTATTAAATTCAAGTAATCCTTTCTGAAATATTGATTTGCTAGTTAAATTCCTATTGCAATTTTGTAAATAAAAATCTATATTTCCTCTTGTATAATAATTGTGGTAATGATTATTCAATTCTATGTAGTGTTCTAAATGTTCTGGCAAAAGATGATTTTTATTTTAAATATAAAAATAAGAACCAAATATGATATGAAATTTTTTTATATTCAACCACTGCAAATTTTGCAACATAGATTTTATTTTGATGTACTTATTTTTATTCATTATTCTCATAGCTTTATTTTGCAAGACTTGTAATTTTAATAATACAGAGCGTCATTGGCTGTGAACAAGATAGTTGAACAATATAGTAAATGCGGTAGAATAATTGTATTATAAACTATTTTCTTGGAATAGGTACCAAGACTATGAGAAGCCCTATAAAAGTATTTTTTTTTCTTGGCAATTTTTGAAATAATGTATTCATAGTGATCCTCAAAACTTAGTTTACTATTGATATATATACCTAAATATTTAATTGATTCAACATTTTCAATTATTTCTTCTTCTTCTATTTTTCCTAACTGTGATAGTAGTTTCATTTAGGTATTTCCCTATTAGCATACATTTTGTTTTAGAAGTATTCAATTTTAGTTTATTTACATTTAACCAATTTACGCTTCTTGCCAAGTCAGAATTTAGCATTTTTAAAGCAGTGTCTATTCCTTTTATAAATTGTTATATTGACTGTAGCTTCTTTTATGCAAACTTCAACATTATCCAATAGGCTTGTATAGTAGCTATCAACATCAACAAACGCTTCAGTCATATCTTGCAGTAAAAGAGCTTCTCATAATTTTACATAGTTAATATTAGTAGTTTATTCCACTTTGTTAGCATCAAATTTACTTTCAACTTCAAAACATATCCATGAATGATCACTGATCTTAGGAGTATGCACAACTTTTGCAATTAAATTTTGTTCGTTCGTTATTATCAAATCTATAATTGTTTTTGATTGATTTGTAATTCTGGTGTGATCATAGACTTTTTGCCATAGTCCATAAAAACTGAGTACCCGTTTAAATTTCTTTGCGTAGAAGTCTTGATTATCAAAATTTATATTAAAATCACCCAAATGTACTGTGATGCAGTTTCGATAAAAATGGATTTCACAGATATTTTTGAAAAAATCTATGAATCTGTTATATTTCCAGTTGGAGATCTGTAGTAAATGTGTAAATTATAATTATGCTTAAGATTCAATTCAACATTGATATACTACCATTGGTAACTCAACAGTTACAATTCCATGTACTCTAGTTTATATAATAATATACCACCTGTATGTCTGGAAATTGTGTTTGCTCTTACAATTTGATAGCCTTCAAAACAAATTGCTTCATCCTCTGCGAGATGTGTTTCAGTTAAACAGAGCATCACCGTTATCATTTATATAAATGATTTAAATTGCTTCTTAAAGTTATCAGCCTTTTCTTCATTTTTGTTATCATTTTTGTAAGAAATTGTTTTCATGCTTCCATGCAATCTACAAATTTTAATTTGAATACTGATGGTATCAGTATGATTTTCAAAACCTGAAATGCTTTTTCGTTCTTGACTTAGTAGTAACTTTGTGTCAAAGTTCCATTAAAATTCGAAAGATGGTAACAGTGGACAGAGATACTAATGGACCCAAATGACATAAAGAATCCAAAAAACATGATATACAATTTCTGTTTTTTTTTTATTAATGCAATGTAATCTTGCATATACAGGTTTGGAGAAAAGAGAAACAGTGTTTCCATCAACAAGTACACAACATGGATACTCCTTGTATGGAACTCAAAGAATCTATGACCTTCCAGTTGATACTAGAATCTCTGACAGAATTAAACAACGTCAACTTTCGAGAACCCCAGATCAAACTCCTCTTGAGATCAGGTACTCAGACATTTGTGTGGAATGTAGAAAATGTAAAGTTATTTCTGCATGTGAATGTTTAGAAAAAATGACTTGCATTTGCTGTAAATCCAAGGTTGATAGACTTTGCTCAAACTGTAAAACACTTGGTGCTAAAGGAAGACAGGCGCCTCTTGTCAACCAAAAATTGTTTGACAGCAATGAACAACAAATTCAAGCAAAAGATAGCGACCAAAGTCATATACCCGACTTTGGTAGTAATAGATTGTATCCTCAGAGTTCCAAAAGCCAACTCCAGACTGATAACGGTGTGAAACCAAAAATGGTGTCAAAAGACGTACAGACTGTCGACGAAATACCGAAAAAACCTACTGTCAAACTGAGGAACATAAAAGAAAAATCCATAAGTAGCTCTAAAGCAACTATCAATAGTCAAAGTAACGTCAATGTTTATGAGCATAGGAACAGATTTTCTCGAGAAAAAATTGTCCCACCTGGTTCCTTTGTAACAAAAGTATCGGCTGATGATATCGAGATAGTACCGCCTGAAGTCTCAGAAACGGATTTGTCGCAGAAAACCAAACAGTCTGAGGTTAACGCTCATCTACGCGGTCTGAGAGCTTTAGAAAAACAAAGAATCCAAAAAGACTATGAAGAAATGTTGAGAAAACTACCTTTGCTTCAAAAACAGGAAAGGACTTGCGAGATTGGTAAAGATAAGCCGGAATATCACATGTCAGAGGGAAGATTGAAAGAAAAAGAGAGACAGAAACAACAGAAAATGGAGAATGCTTATAATAAACTCTTTCCCAATTTAAAGCCAGCTGTCATCACTTTGCCAAGAAAAAACCAACAATCCGATACAAAACGAGAGAATGTTGACCCAACCAATTCTATCAATGTTGGAGAATGGGACGTTGATTTTAAGGAACCCAAAATGTTTACAGCTGAGGAAGTACAAGAAATAATACACGCTTATACCAATCAACATCCAAAGTTGAGGCAAGAGAAGCTCAAAGACTTGTTGAAGAACTTGAAGTTGCAGAAAGAAGAGTTGGTTAGAGAAATTCAAAAGCTTCCTGCAGACAGTAGTGTGAATGAACTTATAAACGATTTGAACTCATTTAGTGAAGAAGACTTGAAATGTAAGGATAAGGTTAAGAGGAAACGACCAGTTGAGAGTGACTTTGATAGTAGTTTGACCGATACTTCAGAGAAAACCGTGAGTAGTGGCAAACATAAAGTCAAAAGTAAATCACCGAGAAAGAAAGTAAAAAAATCAAGTAGTAAGAAAGTGCTGATTTTACAAAATACTAGCACGCAAACGACGCCCAAACCGAGCAAGAGTGATGGGAAAAGGAAAAAAGAATCAACAGTCGATGAAACAGATTCAAAAGAGTCTCTAAATGCTAAGAGATCAGAATCTGATGAGGTATCAGACAAAGGGCCATGTAAATGTTGTAAATCGCATGTGCCCTGCAAATGTAACAAAGAAAATGAGACGTCGGAAGAACTGTGTAAAATTTTGATAAAACTGGATGAGAATGATAAGCATGAAGTTGTGGTGAAGGCTAAGGATGTTGAGACTGTCGTGTCGCCAAAGGGGTCTCCTAAGAAGGCTAAAAAACCTACAAGTGAATCAGGTGAGTCGCACGTTCAAGTAGAATTTTTGTTACTAATTGATTTTCAATATTTTAAAATAGACATGGTTTTATCCGCGAACTCGTCGTCGATTTTGTGATGCCAACTATACTAAGTGACATATAAATCCGAACACCCAGTTTAAATGGTTTTATTTTAATAAAATTTTGTATAAGTACTTAATGAAGCATAATAAGTAAATGATAAAAATTTCAAAATGATTGCACTGCTTTAAAGCCCTTTGACCTTTAATAATGTGTGGATGCACCCTGATGTGCTACGCATTCTGCAACGCGCCTAGGCATGCTTCAGATCAGGTGGTCAATGTCCTCCTGTGGTATCTCATTCCAGGCAACCACCAACTCCTCTCGAAGTGCTTCTAGAGTCTGAGGAGGACGTTGCAAATTGAGCAATCTCCTACCCATCATATCCCACACGTGCTCAATTGGGGATAAGTCGGGAGATCTTGGTGGCCATGGTAACAATGTGACATCATTATGTTGAAAGAAGTCTATTGTGACTCTTGCAACATGTGGTCGGGCATTATCTTGTTGGAAAGTTGGATCTGCCAGGGTGTCAAGATAGGGTAAAAGATGGGGTTCTAGAACTTCGTGGATATAACGCTGCGCGTTCATGTTACCTCTGAAGAAGATTAAAGGAGACCTGGAACCATAAGCTATAGCACCCCAAACCATAACTCCAACAGTGTGATGAACATGTCTTTCAACAAAAAACTGTGGATTCCTCCTTTCACCACGACGCCTTCTAACCCTGGCACGACCATCGTGCATGCCTAAACAAAATCGAGACTCGTCACTAAAGACAATACTGTTCCATTCCTGATCCCAGAGTGACCGTTGTCTGCACCACTCGAGGCGATTACGTCGGTGTTCTCGAGTTAAAGGGAGGACCCAGTGTGGCCGGTATGAAAACAAGCCAAAACTTCTCATTCGTCGGTAAACACTTCGCATGCCAATAGGTCTTCCGTGTTCTGCAAACCATTCTTTTGCAATGGACCTGGTAGTGGAGAAACGGTCCCTTAAGGCCAATAATCTTAGGCGGCGATCTTCATGGTCTGTTGTTCTACGGCGGCGTCCAGTGCCCCTTGCTCTTTGCGTACGGCCTTCTCGAAGTCATGCCTGGCAACACCTAACCACAGTGTCTACACTTCTTTGCACTCTAACTGCAATTGCCCGAAAAGAAAGTCCAGCTTCCCGCAGTCCCACTATACGGCCCCTATCAAACTCACTAAGTTGACGAAATCGTACAGGTCTCCGTACTCTAGGCATCGTAACCGATCGTAAAGGATCTCAAGAACCAAAATCCGCCAACGTTGATTCTTTACTGCGGCTGAAATATTCATTTTTAGAGCGTCAGTGAATTAAAAACCGGAATGTCCTACTGATAAGGCTGAAAATTTTTTGACTTGTTATTTCCAGTAAGATAAATACATTCACCAACTTTTATTAAAATAAAACCATTTAAACTGGGTGTTCGGATTTATATGTCACTTAGTATATAAAAATATCCACCAACAGCGTCAAGCCAGCAACAGTGCGGCCAGCCATCGCAACACTTAACCTGCAACCGCCAGGCGATACAGACGTTTCCTTTTGAACTGGCTGTTACACACGATTGAAACGGTTCCTAACAGAGATCATAGTTTTTAACCAATGCTATTAACTTTCGATCTCGTACGCTATATTTTGGGAAAAACGCTTGGCCACGTTAATTTTGATTTCTAGGGGGACGTCTTTTCATCTATATCCATACAATACAGGGTGATCCAAAAATAAGACATTGGATTTTTAAATTTTTAGTAACTTTTGTATAACATACGAGGGCGGTTCAATAAGTACCCGTGTTAGAGATGAAACCACCATTTTTTCCTATAAAACTCTTTTTATTTTTCCTGCCATTTTCTTAACCGCCCAAAAAATAGGAATTGTCGAACGCCTCTGTCTCGGCGATGACTTCTCCGTTTGAGCTAAATTTTTCCCCGCGAGCCATTTCTTCATGTCAGGGAACAAGAAAAACTCGCAGGGGGCCAGATCGGGTGAATACGGCACTACAAACGCAAATCATGCAGTTTGGCGGCGACAACTCCGGATGAATGTGCTGGTGCGTTATCGTGGTGAAATAGCACCTTCTTTTTCGTCAAATGTGGCCGTGTCTCCTTCAATTTTTTGTCGAAGCCGTCCAATAACTCACTAACTAAAAGCGAATTACCGAATGATACTGCTCTTTTTCCAATCACGAAACACGATTTACTCGAATGGCTGCCAAATCCAAACTAACCTATCAATCAGACTGAAATATGTTGTGCCGTAGTTTGATAGATGTCAGCACACGATTATAACATTAACTTCCCTCAGGAACGCCATCTGTTGTGAAACACGGGTACTTATTGAACCGCCCTCGTAGTTTATACCTATCTTCAATCGTTGTGTAGCTATTTGAGTTTATAATAAAATTCTAGATGGTGTGATAATAAACGATTATAACGGGTGATTTTTTAAGAGGTATAAGATTTGATTTAAAAAGAAATACAAAAAATTTGAAAAAACGATTAAATCTTTATTTGAGTCGATAGAACGGTCGATATAATTTAATGTTTAAAGATTATTTCATGTAAATGTTGGCCGCGGCTCCGCTTTAGATGGCCCATGCGCAAGGTCCAATTTTGGCACTGTCTCTCCCAACATATCGGCCGGTATCTCACGAATAAACGCTTCAATATTGGCTTCCAGTGCGCCAATCGTTGCTCTTTTATCCCTTTAGACATTATCCTTAACATGGCCCCACAAGAAATAGTCCAACGGCGTTAAATCACTCTATCTGGGCGGCCAATTGACGGGCCCCAAACGAGAGATAAACTGTTCACCGAACTCGCCTCTCAATAGGGCCATTGTTTCGTGTGCGGTGTGGCATGTGGCACCGTCTTGTTCAAACCACATGTCAGCCAAGTCCAGCTCTTCCATTTTGGGCAAAAAAAGGTTTGTTATCATCGCACGGTAGCGCTCGCCATTTACAGTTACGTTCCGGCCATTGTCGTCTTTGAAGAAGTACGGCCCGATGATGCCACCGGCCCATAATCCACACCAAACAGTGATTTTTTCGGGATGCATTGGTTGCTCTTGCAATGCTTCTGGCTGGTCTTTACTCCAGATGCGGCAATTTTGCTTGTTAACGTACCCATTCAACCAGAAATGAGCTTCGTGGCTGAACACAATTTTTCGATAAAAATGTGGATCTTCCTCCAACTTTGCCAGCGCCCATTCACCAAATGGGAAACGTTGTGGGAGGTCGTGTGGCTTCAATTCTTGCACCAGCTCTTATTTATAAGGTTTTTACACCCAAATCCCGTCGCAAAATTTTCCACGTAGTGGAGTAACAGAGGCCCAATTGCTGCGAACGGCGGCGAATCGACATTTCACGGACATCACTAATACTGGCCGCAATATTTTCTTCAGTCATCACTCTACGTCTGCGTGTTGGTGGTTTAATGTCCAATAATGAAAACTGGGTTCGAAATTTAGTCACAAGCTTCCGAATAGCTCCCTCAGTAGGCCGACCAAATTGCCCATAAATTTGAAGCAGTGCTCGATGCACTCTCTTAACCGAGCATGAATTTTGATAGGAAAATTCAATAATTTGCAAGCGTTGTTCGTTCGTAAGTCGATTCATGGTTAAATTATAGACCAAACTGAACAAGTTTGTCAATGACACAAGACACGATTCATACGTCATCTGTCAAAAACAGTGTTGCCAAAAAGATACTAGCAAACAAATCACCCATAAATCGTAAAAATATTAATACAGTTCCCAGTTCATTGACCCACCTCGTATATTATGCCATTAGTAAATTGACAACCAACTTGCATGCTTGGGAAATTTGGTTACATTATTAGTGGCATCACGTACACGTTTCGTGGGTAAAACCGTGAGGTAGAAAGCTAGTAAAAAATAAAACCTCCCTCGGGTTATCTTTATTATGAGACATAAGAAGCATTAAACTATTTTTTTTAATGTTGGCCATTACTGGAGATAACATGGTCCATTTTGGAATTCTTTTCGTGTAATTCGTGCAGTATTTAGCGAATAACGCGAGTAATACTGATTAGTATATTATTAGTTTAGACACAGCCTCAAAGGAAACATTTTTCAGGCAGTAGATAGTGTGTTATCATGGCACAATAACTGTCGCCAAATACTATTCGAAATACTCGAAATGCGCATTGAAAAGTAGAGTTTAAGATCAGATTACACTGACAGCAGTAACAGCCGACATTTCCAAGAAACAATAAGTTGAATGATTTTTTGGTTCAATAATAAAGTTTTGTTATTTTTTAAAAATACTGCTGAATTCTTCAATTCTTACTTTAACACGTTCACTGCGTAGGCAAACTTGACTCGTACTGAGTTGGCGCGACATGCGTTACGGGTGAAATATAACTCGTAGTCAACAATAAAGTTTTTTTTGTAAAATAAAAGCTTTTTTAAAGAAATGACCACACAGTAATACTTATAGTTCCTTTAATCTAAAACAGAGACAGGAAAAATGCAAGTTAAATAATAGTATGTTTACGATAGAAAATGGTAAAATATGTATGTTTGCAATAATATTAAAAACACTTTCTTTAATATTAAACTAAAACAGTCAAATCCTAAGCTAAAATGTGGAAACAGTCAAATTCTAAGCTAAAATATGGTGTCATTTATATAAAAGAAAAGTAAAATATTGATTTTGCAAGACAAAACGACTAATGGGCTTCATTAAAACAAACTAATCAGTGGCCGGCTTCCCCGCGCCTCCCTCGCAGAGTGTAGATTTTTTTTCACCTTTTTGTCAGCTTCGCGACTATTCATTGTTCTTCTTAGTAATTTGTAGCATCCTACACATTTTCTCTTATTTTTCTTTTCGGTTTCCCCTAGAGTAAGGGTATGGTATCTTTTAGGAGTTCTTGGCTGTTCTGGTTGCAATTCTTCTCTGCCACACTGATAGAAATGTTGCGCTAGTTTTTCTCTAAATTGGAGAATTGTGAGCTTGCTAGTTAGATGTTGATGATTAAACATATCCCAAGCATTGACGATTGCTGAATTAAAAACTACATTTTTTTGTACCATTTTAAACTCTTTCGGAGGGAGCTCTGGTAAGATCCCATCTGGTCACTGTAATCGACACCTTTTTTGCGTTATTGTTATCGATTACACACTGTGGTTTTTTTACAGTCTATCCTTTTCTTATTTTTCCTGTATTAACTAGTGATGTATCGTGATTTTCACAGGTTGAGAGCATCAGAACCGGTTTTTTATCTACCCACTTCATAATTTGTATGCACTCTGACTCTTTTCCAGCTATTTGATCTCTTTTAAGCTTTTGAGAAATAAGATTTTTAGGAACAGTTTTGCGATTCTTTCTCAAGGTACCACAAATTCTTGTCTTTTTGGTCTTCAAATATTTTGCCAATTCATAAGAAGTATAAAAATTATCGCAATATAAAATGCGACCGTATTCATAGTAGTCACTAAGTAATGAATCCACTATAAACTCTGCGTGGCTGACGGTATGATCCGTGTCTTCTTTACCCGAATAAATTTTGAAATGAATCACATAACCATCAATATTGCAAAGTTTGTAAAGTTTCACACCATATTTGTGGGATTTATTTTTTATTGGGGTTGTCCAAAATGGACGCAGGAAAGTAAACGCATATTAAAACAAGAAAGATTGATATTCAAATCAAGTTGGGTACTTTATTTTGAAGGTTCATTTATACCATTTATGTATGAAAAATAATATCGCTCAAATGTTGTTCACCACGACTGGATTTACAGATGTCCACGCGATGGTCGAAATTTTCAATGACATTTTGCAACATGGTCGGTTCTATGGCATTTATCTCGGCAATGATGTTGTTTTTGAGTTCTTGGAGGGTGGCTGGTTTGTTGACGTAGACTTTGCTTTTCAAATATCCCCATAAAAAGAAGTCCAAGGCAGTCAAATCGCACGATCTTGGTGACCATGGCACATTTCCTCTGCGCGAAATCACGCGATCACCGAAGAAGGACTGCAATCGATGGATATTGACGTTGGTTGTGTGGCATGTTGCACCGTCTTGTTGGAAATAAACACCGTCCATATCCATTCCTTCAAGTTGCGGCAAAAAATAGTCCTCTATCATCACGTGATATCGCTCAGAATTGACGGTAACGGCGTCCCCGGCCGCATTTTCGAAAAAGTAAGGTCCGATGATGCCTTTTGACCACAATGCACACCACATAGTCACTTTTTGAGGATGCATCGGCTGCTCTTGATACTCACGGGGATTTTCGTTCACCCAGATGCGGCAGTTTTGCTTGTTTACCGTCCCATTCAAAGTGAAATGCGCTTCGTCGCTGAACATGATTTTTGATGAAAAATTGGCATCAATTTGGCGGTGTTCAAGGAGCCAATCTGAGAACGTTCGGCGCGAAAAATGGTCGGCCCGACGCAGCTCTTGCGCCAATTGGATCTTGTAGGCGTGTACATTCAAATCCTTGTGGAGAATGCGGAGCAAACTGGTTCTCGAAATGCCCAATTCTTGGGATCGACGCGTTGTTGATTGTTTCGGATCGTCTCTCACACTCTCCTTCACAACAGCAATATTTTCCGGTGTGCGAACGCTCCTTGGCCGGCCAGAGCCTGGCAGATTTGCCACAGAATCTGTTGCCTCGAATTTACGCACCAGACGACCGACGGTTATTTCGTTTAGGCGGTTGTTGCGACCGAAATGTTCACGAAGCGCGCGAAACGTGTTTTTTATTTTTGCACCATTTTTGTAGTGCTCTTGAATAACTTTAATGCGGTCTTCAATCGAATACGACTCCATAGCGATCAATGGTAAACATTCAACTAACAAAATGACATGTCGGTGACAGAAAACAAAGATGGCGTCTATGTCAAATTGACGTTTACTTTTCTGCATCCCTATTGGACAACCCTTTATATTGTTTCATTCTTAGGCGACCCGTCGATGGTATCATAGACTCATCTATAACTACTTTTTTTGGAACAAATCGGTCGCTTGTCATACAAGATGATATAAATTTATTATGATATAAGGAATCTTTGGACCAATACAAATTCATTATTGGACCGTTCACAATTCCCATGGCTATTACTATGGCAAAAAAGTTTTGCAATTCATTATGATCTACTGGTTTCCATAAATTTAGTCTTGATTTGGGTTTGTTTTCTTGTGACATCAAATTTTCAGCATATCTATCAGTCTCTTGAACCATTTTCTCGATCAACTCGTCATTAACAAACAACTTCAAAAAATCGATAGGGGAAGAAAGGTGACGGGGTACATTAAAACCGATTTCATTATCACACAAAGTAGGAAACAATTCGCTAGAGGGTACTGTTATATCGACCCCTGTTATATCAGATGGGCCAGGAGCATTTTGTGAGGCATTATTTTGGCTTAACGGGAGCACATCTTGGGAGACTTCGAACTGATTTTCACCACTGGATGAACTATCACCGGATGAACTTGGTATGTAATCTTTGTCCATCAGCGATTCATCTGAATCTTCATAAAACGAACACTCGGACTCCGACTCACTTTGTCTTGACTTAGCTTCTGCAAGATCAGCAAGTTTTTTTCCACGAGACATTTTTGCGATTAGTACCACCCACGACGGCGTATGCTTGCCAACTGAATAAATTTACTGTAAGGTATTGTACGTGTGACCCCGTACCGCAAGCAAGTAAAAATTAATAGTTTTTATGCGTTCGAGGCATATTTGGGTCGTACTGTTTTTTGTCGAAGAAAATGATACTTAAATTGCAATTCTACAGCTATAAAAACCTTTTTTTATCTTAAAAAATAAAAATTTTACAAGCTTCGCGATATGGAATACCTTAAGCAAAATGCCCGCCGCCCAGGTGATAGTGCGATACGATTCATATTAGCTCCGTAACGCAGTGAACGTGTTAATACCTCTTTATTCTTCTCCTTACTATGAAAGTTGTTAGTTTTGTTATTTTTAAAAATACCTCTAGATTAGTCAATCCTTACTCAAATACCTCTTTATTCTTATTCATTTCATAGCAGATGAAGAATTGAGATCGATACTAGATTTTGCCAAAAAGCTTAAAGACAAGCCCAAGAAAGTTACGACTCAAGATGTCCAGACCTCACCGATACCCCAACAAAAAGATTCTCGAGAGAGCGTCAGTAGACCAAAAAAGGCTCAGAGTACACCGAAGGAAGTTTCTGAAGACAGGTCAAGGACTTGGAGGACACAACTTAGCAAAAACTCATCCTCATCGGCTAGCACTTCGTACATGAGTCCGCCGGATTTTCATAGACTTGTTATTCAGAATCAGAGCAGCAGGAGCAAGCAGCCTTCTTATGATCCAAAAAAGCCGCAACAAACTAATATGAATGGTTTTCCACAGTCGCGGGAAGAGTCCAGTGTCCCGAGACGTCGATTGCTAGAGTACGTGACAAAACTACTGGGAATGTCGAGAGCGAGTGTTGAGAATCTCAGCGTTTCTTCAGTTAGCACGGTTAGTTCTGCATATTTGTCATAACATACAGGGTAAAACTCATTCTATGAGTCAGAAGTTTAGTTTTACATGATTTTGCTGTTCCTTGGACGGTTCACATATTAACGCGATTTAAAAAACCCCCCATAGAAAAAATCGCAATGCGTCAAATCGGGAAAGCGGGCCGGCCACCATTGAAATGAGGCGCTCTGGAAGTGTAAGCCGTTGCTTCCTCTTGTTGGAACCAAATGTCAACTCATCTAGGCGTGCAAAAAATTCCTGTAACATGTTTACATACTGGCCCGAACTCACTGTCACTGCGATTACATTTTCCTAGAAGAACCAGGGACCAATAATATTCCAGCTGAGTAAATTGCGCACCACACTGTAACTTTGGGTAATCGCAAATGCCTTTGATGCAATTCTCAAGGATTGTTGTCAGCCCAGTAGCGCATGTTTTGTTTATTTTGACTTACCAACACAAATGAAAGTGGGCTTCAAATCTTAAATAAAAAAAAAGGAAACAATAGCGTCCTCGGGAACGTCTTCGAGAAGACGCGTTCATCCGAGAATTGAAGCCTGTACAATTGCCATATTGTAACGATGGAATTGCAGATCTTCATGAAGATTCTCATCACATAACGATCGCAAAGTCCCAGAGCAGACACATCTCTGCCCGCAGAACGCCGTGGTGATCGCAACATTGAAGCTCTCACTGCCTCAATGTTTTCAGGTGATCTAATAGATGCTGTTGCGTCTTTTAGAAATTCCGATTTCACTGTTTTTTTTTTCTTAAAACTTTTAGAGGGTAGTCTGATAGATTATTTAGAAACAAAATGAAAAAATGTTCCCAAAACATTGTATTTTTAGCTGTTCTTTCCATCATTATTTCCACCGCCATCTATGTGCATATGACGTAGACGTCTATGCCTATGTCATATAGATATAGGGAAAAATATGAAAAGTTGAAAATTTATATACATACAGTAATGGACAAAAGTATATAGATAATATTGTGCTGTATCTCTTTTTTTAATTTGTTTTATTAATACACCAACCTGTATACATAATTCGTTATAGCATAATACTCACTTGTACATAAATAAATTCATTAGACTCCCGTCAATAAAAAATTAATGAAAAAAACTGGAACTATGAAGGACGAAAATATATAGACAAAGCAAAACAATTATAGAAAAAGAAGCAAAGTTCATTAAATTATAGAAAACCAACGGTTTTTGTGTCAATATTTTGTAGCATAACCATTATTATCAATCGCAGTCTGGCATCGTCCCGGCATAGATTATAGAAGTTTCTTGATATAAGATTCATCAATCTGTCTCAACTTTGCTCTAAAGCGGCAAAAAGTTCATCCTTGTTTGAATAATTTCTATCTCGAATTTGCTTATCTAAGTATTCCCATAGATTTTCAGTTGGGCTTATATCGGGAGACTGTGAAGGTCATTTGAGAACTGGTATTTTTTCATCCAGAAAGAATTTCTTTGCGAGATTCGAAGTGTGCTTCGGGTCATTATCTTGTTGGAAGATTGATCTGCTGACATGCTTTAGTATGTCTATGTGTACAATCTTATCCATAATGCGATCTATTCTATGTAAAGGTCTCATCCCAATCCCCAAAAAGCACCCCCAAACCATAACAGACCCGCCTCCATGTACTTGGGGTACAATCTTTGTCCACTAGGACGTCTAACGTAATGAACACCATCTGATCGAAACATATTGAACTTGGATTCGTCACTGAAACATACCCTCTTCCAGTCACAGATGCTCCAATCAAGATGCAACCGTGCAAATTGTAATCGGTCCTTACGGTTTTTCCTCCAGATTAGCGGCTTCTTACTCGGCTGACGTGCAAATAACTTCAAACCATTTAATCTTCTACTTATAGTTTTCGTAGAAACACTGACAATTCCTTTTGTCTTGATTTCGGTTTTTATTCGTCTTGGGGTTTTAAACGGATCTTTGGACCAAATTACTTTTATTAATCTAACTAATCTAGCATTTAGTTTTCTAGGACGACGACTTCTCTTAGAGGCTTCCAAGATACGTTTTTGTTTATATTTGTTCAATATTCCCAAACTGCTTTACGCTTCGGCTTCAAATTTTTGGCAATGTCGACTTGACGTTGACCATCTTTGTATAACTCAATGATCTTAGTTTTCACATCGAAAGAAATTTCTGGACCACGCGGCATGGTCTTAAAATCACTCAACTTATTCCACAATACTTGATGAACAAAAACTAATGCTCTTCTGACACGAAAATCAAAAAATAACAAACAGCAGTAAAATAAAAAGCAATTCTAAGTGATTATAAAAACAAAAAATAAAAACAGTAGTAAAACAGAAAAAAAAAACAATTCCATGTTGAATAAAAAGCAATTGTAAGTGACAACACAAAACAAAAGTAGTAAAACGAAGATCAATTTGATTCCATCCAAATTGCTTTTTATATTACTGTTAATTTTTTTTTTAATTAAATGGAATTGTTTTTGTGAAGTGAAAAAACAGTGAAATCCGAAGTTCTACAAGACGCAACGGTACCAACTAATAGACCCAGGGACTCCAGTTCGTTGTCTTATCGCACTTGCATTTTGTCTGAACCCACTGACCCACGTAACAATTGATTTCCGCTACGAGACAGGCTCCAACGGTTTAAATCTAAAAGATTCCCAAACCGCGCGCTCGGTTGTGAAAAGTAGGCCTCAACGGCGAAAGCACGCTCCCCACTGTTCCAACTGAACTGTGCCGGGATACAACTATATAGGCCCAGCTCTCGAATGAGACCACTAGCGCTTCGCTACATCAATTGACTGAATGACGCGCCTTTCAAAAAAAGAAACGATGTTGTCGCGCCCTGTGTAACATCATTCCAACAAGAGATGTATTTTTTATTAGACAATTTCACTTTATCTTGTTCTAGGTGCCAACGCCGAGTCAGAGTATTGTCGAGGTGGAGTCCAACATCCCCACTGCGCAACTGGAAGAGTTGGTGAAACAGTTCAACAAGAGGATATTCGAACAAGCCAACGATCTGAGCTACTCTTCATCCATGTCGCCTTGTCCGAATAATAGCAGTGCTAGTAGCAGTGGAAGAACTGCCAAAAGCAAACAAGGTTAGTACTAATGATTTTTTTAATCATTCAGAGCATGGCCACATTCAGGGATGCTGGCGACTCACTTTTTTCGATCCATCTCACTTTTACTCACTTTGCATGCTTTAAAGTGATCACGTATTATGGAAATCTTGTGCGGGATGCTGAATATTTTTCCTACGCAACGCAGAATCGAGAACGTTGTTTTCATTGACAACGCCCATTTTCTCTTAGACGGGAATGTGAATAAGCAAAATTGCAGATATTGGGCACCAACGAACCCAAAAGAGAAACATCAATAACAGCTACCTAGTCCAAAGGTGACTGTGCGCCATATTCTCTAGCGGTATTTTTTGGGCCGTATGAAGATGAAAACGGTCATGCATTGACAGTCAATTTCGAGCGATACAAAGACATGATTGACACTTGTTGCTCCTATTGTAAGAACTTAACATTTGGACGGAATGATATTTAAGAAATAAAACCCGGCGAATTTAGGAATATGTTGATAGTAATAAATATTTTCTTTTCATAAAGTTTGTATTTTTGTTTTCTTAAATCAAAAAGTGAACTTTCCCACTGGACATTAGTTACAATAAATTCCATTGATTTGAATTGAGCTTGTGTCTTGTCTGACAGACTTTACCATCGGTAAACTACAATGTTTCTTACTTTCTTTCCAGCTGAAACACCTTCGGAGCGTCAAGAAGCATCCACAAGTAGCAGCGACCTAAAATACGACACTGTTTCAAAGGCATACGCAGATATAACAGAATCGTGCACCAGAAGAATTGAAAATCTATCTTCGATGATAAACAAGATCCGAGAAGAGAAAGACCAGATTCTGAAAAATCCTCCTCTTAGTGCTAGAGCTGAAACGAAAAATGGTACAGGTAGTGACAAAGAACACTCGACAGCTTATATGGATCTACCAGAGGGAAGTGGCAAGAGCAGCTCTTCCTCTTCTTTGAGCGAAGAAGAAGTTTACAAGAAACTGTTGGAGATAGATATGAGCCTGGCGGATAAGTTGAGGCTTTTCAGTAAAGAGAAAACCGAGGCAGAAGATGGACAAGAAGCAGCGAATAAAACTACAGAAGAAATGGTAGAGAGATTGCAAAAGTTGACCAATTTAGAGCCGATAACTGAAGGAGAATGTTTAGGAGAAAGTGAGGAGTATGTTTCGTTTCTGTCTGACATACCGAAACTTCCGAAGTTTGAGCCGCATGTGGAGACGAAAAATGGAGGCAGCAATAGTAGAAGGCCACCTCCATCTAAAGGACTAGCTATTGCAAAACGTTTGAATCAGGATATATCTTTGGTACCCCACGAACTTTCTACTATTCAAGAGACCGAGAGCCAGCTATCAAACAAAAATGGGCTCAGTCCAGAGACACCAAGAGCAGTGACAAAAAGCATTGATGTGATCCCCGAAGTATCTACAGGCACTCAAAAAGAAAACATCAGTTCACCTGTAGGAAAAAGTCCACAGGTTTGCGACAAATCTACGTGTGGCAACATGAAATCAGGAAGCTCGTCTTCCCCAGGTACATCTACGTGCAACAAGTTATGTTCGTCAAGCTCTAGCGATGATGTAGAAGCATTAGAAGCGATGCTTAGAAGTATTGGTATGGAATGGGCTATTCCTACTCTTCACAAAACCAAAGATGCTTTGGCTCTTAGTTCGAGTTCAAGCTCTGTGGATATGAGCTCCAGAAGGAACGACACTGCAGACCCCAACATCAGTCTCAAAACGTTCTTGAAGAAGAAACTGGCAGGAAAGTTGAATCTGTCAGATTTGACAACGATCTCGACGGAAACGTCTGAAATGAAAGAGAGAAGTCAGAGGACTTCAACGCCTGTGGTGAGCAGTAAGAGTCAGAATCATAGCAAAAGCAAGGATTCCAAGTTGATGTTTTCTGATACAGAGTTATCCTCGGTGAGAAATGATACTAGCTGAAAGTGCCTTTTATTTTTTATTGTGTAATTTTTGTAATGATTAAAAGTGATAGAATTTTATTTGACAATAAATCAATTTTTATTATATTTGTTTTATTATACTTATACCACATCTGTATAGAAGCAGCCATTTTATCAGAAAATATGTACCACAATAACGAGGCCAGGAAAGATATTATACTGTATTTTTCTTTTCAACTGTCTAAAATGTCGGTGACTGTGGTTAAAATTTTCATTAATTTTTTTACAGACGATAGTTCTGCTACTGTCTCAGAGATGTCGCCGTAAAACATTACTTTCGCAACCTTCACAAAATTTAACTAGGCTAAAAGAATGTTAGAGGGGTGGTTGGTCGGGGTTTGGGTGGCACGATTTTCAATCCGTCGCACAATATCAAGAAACTGAAATGGTCGAGAGGGGGCTATAAATTCCCCAATTTTTCTTGGAACAAGAAATCTTTGGCTATATTAGTTAGATACGTATTGCTTTTGTTCAAAAAAACAAAGCATCCTCCCCCTGCTTTAAGTCGAGGTTTACTGACCAATTTTCAACTGTTCCAGGTAGTCATTCAAAACGGTGGGTCTTGTGATGGCTATTTATATGCAGCGCCATCTATCGGAGAGTAGCTGAACAAAAAATATATCGATCCGGGTAGTTTTCATGAATCAATTTTACAGATTTTGGAATTCAAATTCAACTTAAATGATAAAAATATTTATTAGAACAGGACTTTCCCAAATCAACGTCCATATACTGAAACGATCAGTTCTGCCAGATGGTCATTGAAATCGGAGACGAGCCACCAAGGGCTTCTGCGATCCTGGTAGTTTCCTGCGCAAGGTATTTTAATGAAACTTCAATTTAAATGGTTAGGTATAATTTTTATTATTAAATTTGACGAATTTTAAACTCTCATCCAAACGAACAAACAAACAAAAAGGAGAAAATCATTTGCAATATGATCCTCGCCTAAATATAATATATAATATACTCTCTCTCTCACTTTCTTCTTCTCTATAAAATATTCTTATCACCTAGAATGCCATAATTTTTTACATGGGATAAACTAAAAATTACAAATATATGTATATGAATACTCTGTAAAATATAATAATATATACCTAATCCTAAAGAAAAAATATACGAAGGTAGATTTTCAATAACTTAAATGAAAGACTTAGAGGTAAAATGAAACGAATGCACGTTGAAGGAGTTTTAGAAGTGCTCGAAATCCTTATTATAAATGTAAGATATATTTACAATTTATCATGATATTGAGATAGTTGAGTCTTATACATTCCTCAAGACATTTTGTGTATGTTATGGCAAGAAGCACCTCCCTCATATGGTATCAACTCTCTTTTCAACAATTACGAATACAAGTAAAATCAGAGAATAGCCTGAATCATCTAGTCACTAGGTCCGCATTTATGGCTGATCCTCAAGTGGATATTTTACATTTTCACAGTAGGCTGCAAAAGTTTTCAAAATTATGAAAATAATTTTCAATGATTTGAAAATATTCAAAAATTCTAAGGATTCTAAATTTTCAAAATAATATAAAGTTTTAACGAAATAATAAAGGACAAAGTGCCATCCGTTAGCAGACCTGAGGAGTTGCGAAATAGCATGAAACAGCTGTTCATGGTTGTAAGCTGTATTTAATAATAAGATTCTGAAAAAATCTCAAAGCGTTCAACGTTTTTGAATTTTCAGTATCATCGAATTTTCCAAAATCGGACACTAGGAATTCTAAAAACATTGAATATTTTCAAAATCTCTCATCTGTGGCCGTAGAATACAGGGTGATCCAAAAATAAGATATTGCATTGCACTTTAGATTTTTAAATGGAACCCCCATTTTTTTTTTAATTTTAAGATTTTCCATGAAGTTTATAGTAACTTTTGTATTCTCGTAAAAGATAAAACTTGTCCATGAGCCTAACGAATAAGATTTTGATAGATTACATTAATTTGTACTCCAACTTTCATGTGCGTGTTTTTTGTTTTTTTAATACTCGGAAACGTGTTTTTAATTTTAAAGTAAAGTCTTGTTACCATGGGGACTATATTGATTATTATTTTTATGACATAATCCCATATTATTACAATTTCTAGAATTTTATTATATAAGCTCACGACGATTGAAGACAGTTATAAACTTTATTACACAAAAGTTACTAAAAACTTGGTGGAGAATCTAAAAATTAAAAAAGAGATTTTCCATTTAAAAATCTAAGGTGTAATGCAATATCTTTTTTGCGGATCAGCCTGTATTGTACGGCTATAGATGGAAAGACGTCTCCCTAGAAATCAAAATTGACTTGTCGTTTTTTCCCAAAATGTACCAGGAGAGTCACAAATAGGGGTGCGACGTTTTCGTCAAACAGGTATCACTACTGAGTTCTTGAGGATCCGATTCACTATTCTCTTGAAAAGAGGTCGTATTTTTGACAGCAAGAGGAATGTATTAACAGAAAAATCAGTTGGTTAGATACTGGCAGGTAGATGTACAAAGATGTAGCATTATTGAACTCAAGAAAAGAATACAATTTAGTAGAAATGGTAAATAACAAAACATGGCTCGAATAACAACTAAAACAATATTAGTTGTGCTATTTTCAAAGGTAAGTTAGGTAGCGCGAGCGTATTTTACATTTTCTTTTCTGCACTTTTGGCTCTGAGATCCTGGTGATATACACTTGCTTATCTATACCGTTACAATATAAATATCGCACGCTTTAAGATTCTTCTTTAGCGGGTACCTAGGATGTTAGAGGACGTGCCGCAATTTTTTACTATCTCATATGATTAAAAATAGTTATGGTCGAGTTCTCTACAAATTTACCATATATAGGATTCGGGTACTCATATAAAATACCAGAATAAAAACGTAGGAAAAAGACCAATTTTAATAACGCATTTTTGGAATTTGAGGTGATTTTTTGAAGTTTGAAGAATAATTCTCATTCTAGAACATCCCTTTTCTGAACCCGTGGAGCCTGAAACTTCATTACAAGTACTCTTCATAATCATATTAGACGAAAATACCCCTGGTTTGCGAAATAATTGTAAAGTCTTATTGCTGCAAGTTGTGGGGATGGAGGCATAAAATGGGTACACCAAACTTTTTATTCGACAACAAAGAACGAGAAAACGTGTTTTTGGGGATTCAAATGAAAAAACTCTTCATATAAGATTTTTAGGTATTTATGAGACCTACAAAATGAGACCACACGCGAAAAACCGACTAATAGCAAAAAAGTTATGGCCGAAAACCGAGGCAGACTGCAGGTGATGCGACGATGGTTTCTCGCAGATACTTAAAATTCTTCAAATTCGTAGGATTAATACTGCCAAATAACCACAACAAAATTGGAGTAGATTGGTCAATTAGTTTTTAAGAATTTCTAACTGTTCATCCCAAAACACCTCCCTCAAAAATTTGTGTACCCCTTTTATGCGTCCATGCAACCAAGACTTTTATTTCGGTGAAATTTGCTAATATGATTAGACTATTGACCGTTGACGTCGGCGTACGCTGATATAAATACAGTGTTGCCACTGCGTAGATGAAAATATTCTGAAGATCTCAGACTTTCCTTCTGAATCGCACAAATTTAAAAAAAAATAAGTTCATAATAATTTATCGTTGTAGGTAAATTTGTAGATATTGCTTTGCTTTAGATTTTTTGCGGACGTCTTCCTGTTCCTGAGGTGTTCATACCTAAGCCTTATTAACCATCTTATGTTTAACACTCTAAGTGAATAATCTCATCTTAGGCAACATGACAACAAGAACACACCATCTATAACGTTCCTTAAATATTACATCTTAATCGTATCGTGTAAATAAAAAATTGATTGCTTTTTATGGATTTTTTTCGTTAAAAAATCCTTCGCGTCAAAACATAAACAACAATACGAGTACTACAGTCTTCAAGCCCTAACTGAAACTTTGAAAACCACTGTATTTTTCATTATAAAAAGCTTTTTGTCTTAAAAAAACAACAACCGTATATATAGTCGCAAAATGCGAAATCTTTTTTATATTATTTCAGTTTTTGAAACCGTTTCAGTTGGACTTTTCAATATACATGTATTTTAAGTCTTAAAACATTGTCAATACAAAAATATTTGCCTGCAGAATATACACAATATATACAAAGTGAAGTATTTTGCATAATTTTGCAATTCTGGTAAAATTTTCTGATAAAAATGGCAGTAAATCGACATTCAATACAAATTTCATAACATAAAATGGTAGGTACTAGCGTATTACACATTCGATCTTAAAATGAAATACTAAAACAATCAGAAAAACATTAAATACTAAAAAACTTAATAATATAACATTGGTAACAATAATATTAATAACAAATGCGAAAATATATACACAAAATACTCAAAAAAACCTATATAAAATTGCCTAAAGAAATGTACAACGTATATGCACAGAAACGAAAATCGTGAATATTAAGTACCTATTACTGTATTCAGACGTAAAAACATTTCAAAAATGGCGACAGCATGTCTTGATCTGTCAGCAACTCAACTACAGTGCTTCTAGCATCAGTCACTTAATCGTTATAAACATATATAAAATGGATGGTATTTTTGTACTTAAATTGAGCAAAATCAAATCAATAGTAAGTTAAGCAATTACTCATTTTGAATTTCTAGTTTAACAATTACACTTAAGAATACTGTATAACACAAAAATCACTACGGAAAAAAACGACATGAAGCAGAAGATTAAAGCACTCTATCAGTTATCGATCAAAAGGGCAAGATATATACAGGGTGATTCACAAGTGGTGACCAAAAATTAAAGTGCATACACGGGACCGCATTTCAAGGGGGGTCTTCTATGTAACATTTTTTCTTCGAGGTGTTAAAGCTGAAAAATAAAAAAAATAATATCCTCTAAATCGTCAATTGGATTGAACTAAAATTTGTGAATTTACCTTCAATTTGCTACAAATTAGTCTTGCGTTTTTTTTCCTAGAGTGTATTGGTTTCGTGAAAATAAAAATAAAATAGGAGGGTTTGATACCAACTTGACGTTTCTTGGGAGACAGATTGTC